CTGACTACACAGAAATTATAACCACAAATTCTGCTTCCCAGTCGGTCTCCAGATTATTCAGTTATGCTCGTTTTATGACAAGATAGCATAAAAAAAAAAAATATTAAAATACTGTGAAATACTTTATTTTCTGGAATTAATTTTCGCTGAAAAGACTTTTGGGGCATTTTGTATGGAACTTATTTTCACTGATTTTTGATGAGTTTAATGTGAAATATAGGAAAAAAAGTATATTCGCTGGATTTTATTTTCACGGAATCATCCATTCAGCGAAAATAGCGAAAATAAATTCCAAGCGAAAATAAAGTATTCTACAGTACTCTATTTGAATTAAATTATCAATATTTTAAAATGTCTCACTCAATAATTTATTCAGTTAGAAACGAGGAATTATTTTTTTTTTAGTTCATTCTGGACTGACTTGTCCTTGTCCTGAACAGCCTAAGCAAACCAAACTCAATTACCATGTGCTGGCTTATTACAACTATTCATTATGATTATGATCTTCTCAACACCATACTTTTTCCCGCCAAAATGTTTTCTAACTTTTTTAATTTTTTTAAATTTATCGATAATTTTGGACCAAATGGACGTTATTTCTGATTCACAACATGTATATCACTGGTAACCACCCAGACAGGTTGTGCATATTCACAAATCGATTTAAATAGTATCAATTACGAGAAAGAAGGAAACCTGAGACGTTTTAAAATCATTTCCTGATATTAACCTAAGCAGATCCTTTTAGTGCTAGAACTACAATAATATAATCAAATTTATTCAGGAAATCAATATTCGTGTACAGTATATGAGTGTTATAGCACATGTTAGGGACAATACAGCGGTTGCTAGGAAAAGGTTTTCTACTTGGCAACCCCAATTATAAACCAGCCACTTACACTGCTTACATGTTTGTTTTCTCAGTGTATATAGAAAGTAATGAAATACAAATAGATACAGCTTCTAAAGTTTTAAATAGCATTCAGTAAAGTATAAAAATATTCATGAAGGATAAATACGTGTAGCGAAATATTTTTTCTTAGACTAAATTTGATTTCAATGTACTGTAAAATGACTAATTTTCACCGGGTTTAAATTTCGCTGATTTACCATTCCAGGCATATTCATTGGGTTTTAAATTCATGGTTTTATCATTCAGATAATGTGTTCTATACTCAATTTAATTAACATATTCACTGGGTTTTAATTTAGCGCATTTTCCTGTCAGCGAAATAAGCAAAATTAAAACCCAGTGAATAATTAACCCTTTTACATTAACAACCACACAACTTAATTAAAGACACAGCAGGGAATGGTATCATGAATACACAAATAAATGTCTTATTAGGATGTCAGATTCTGCTGACAATGTTAGTGCATGGATAGATATATCATACTAATAAGGCAATTTATTGTGATAAATCAGTAATTAATGAATTTGGTGAACCAATGACAAAAACATATGGACAAGACAATGCTCAAAAATGTTTTTGCTTAGAAGTAAACATGATTTATTTAAATCAATAAGTAATACCGGTATTTTGTTACATACATGTACATGGTGGGCAAATCTAATTATTATTATCAGGTAACAACCCTAGCATAATTTATAAAGAGCTTCATACAGATACTTATATCATTATTTGTTAGGCTTCATAGTTGTATTTTGCTATCATTTAGATAATGTGTTCTATGGTCAAATTTTACATATTCACTGGGTTTTAATTTAGCACATTTTCCAGTCAGCAAAATAAGCAAAATTAAAACCCAGTGAATAATTAATCCTTTTACAGTATTTAATTTGTTAAGTCGATGGATCTCTATTTTCTAAGTTACGTGTATGTGATGGATCTTAGTAAAAGTTTGTGGGTGTAGAATAACACAATATTTATTTCAAGCATTCCAGCAACATAGTTGTTATGGTGACAGGTCATGTGATGCTAGGTAGTATTAATGTGCCAGTCCAATGTAGCCACCATATTAGA